ATGAAAGAAAGTCTGGAAGAATTTACTTATAATACCATCACCTAACATTTGTGTATATTTCATATGAAGGCTATACTTGTGTGTCAAACCATAACATTATTTTACTCACTGCAAAGTTTGGTTGTCACAAAAACTGGTTGAGTCCAAGCCTGAAAATTCCTCAGAGGTCAACTGAGAACATGATATTAGGCTAATTACTTTACTTCCTCACTATCTATTCATTTATTTACATTTAGTAACAGTTTTTTGGCCCCTAATTTGGGTTTGTTTCCTATAGCTCCTATTGTGCAGATTTTCGAAAAATTCAATAGTCTTTTTTTCTCAGTATAGATGGTTTATTTATTCATATTTCTTCTAATCCAGAAAATTTTCCAAGTATATATTCTACTTTACTATTTACCATTTCCTACCTTGAAGTATTTAGCATTCATGTTCCAATAGTGTGTTGGTTGATTTCTTAATTGGGTGGAACAGGACTTAGCCTTATGGTTAAATTATATAATTATTTATAATTTATGAATAATAGATGTTATCTAATTTTTCTAAACATACAAACAAAATTTTCCAAATAAAAAATCATGTCTCCTATTTTCTTCTGAAAACATAAATAATGCTTTCTAAATTAAAATGAAGTTAAATGCAACAAGAACATGTATTACATTTTCAGGATATCAACAGCCCATTTTACATGTGCAATTTTGACAAAAATAAGTCCTTATATGAAATAAATGTAATTTGAAGGTGATTGTTCATAAACTCTTGACTGTAGCATCAAATAACTGAACTAAATGCATTTAACAACTGTATTTCCATGCATTAGAGAAAATGTCTATTTCTGTAAAAGGAAAAGGAAGAGCATGTGAAGGTAGAGGGTCTGGATAACAGACTCAGGCCACATAAAAATTGCAGTAAACCATCTGTACTTGGACCTAATATTTGCAACTTAAAGAGTTTTTAAAGACTATTTTTTAAATGGTGTAAAAAAGACAAAAGAAGAAAAGAAAAATCAGAGCGTAAATCCTGTTATGAGGAACAGTAGTAGAGCTGGATAAAAATTCACATTCCAGACTTCTAATGTTATCATTTGCAGGATTTCCACGCATACGCCTCACATAAGACGACTCAAAGAAAGTAGGGATATATTTCTTTTCAAATCTCCTGGTCTTAATGAGATGTTCCCCATGCCTTGGATCCTTGGTTCTACAGTAGTGGACTGTCCCCTCATAGAAGGAGATATAAATTATTGTGCGTCTATACTTCTAATCAGAGCAGTATACTGAACACTGTTAGTGTTCTTCTGGTGTTCAGTGGAGGCAGGCAACTTTCACTCACCCCTCAAACTATACTTCAGCTTTCCTTGCTTTAGACTGCTAACTCACTGTTCACTTAATTAGCTGTGGGTCTGGTCTTTACCTTGAGGCTAAGAGATCACTTATCCAGACACTTCTAAAACTGCTGTGATGGCAAACCACAATGCTGTTCCGTCAAGAACAGGCTGTGGAAATTATTCTTAGTTCCTCCAGGAATGGAAATCATGAGCACATCTTGATGTTTTCGCTTCTGCAGGTGAAGTAGATAGGACTTGTAGTATTCATCTTTTTACTTCGTATTGTCATCTCAAGGCTAAGAAAGACAATACATATTTACAGAAGTAATATGTCTTAAAAGATAAAATTATCTTAACATTTAATGGTCTTAATTCCATTTTAAATGAATTTAATCAGATGATATTTAATCTTTTATGTGCTATTTGGGATGTCCTAAAGTCAAACTAGAAGGATATAATGTGTTATGTTAATTTGTGAAGATGAAAACACACAGAATTTGACATAATTTTAATTAATTGCCTGCCAAAGCAGGAAGAGAGAATACGTGATTTTGAAGGAATTCAGAAGGACCGTAGGAGAGCTACAAAGGATTAGTGATAAACTTAGTATGGTTCAGAAGTGGACTGAGACTATAAGGCAGGAGCCAAGAGAGTAGAGACGGAGAGGTCTGGGTTAAGACGGAAATAAGGGCAGGAGAGAGAATCAGCAGGGGATAAGCAAAATGTTATCAGATAGATCAAGCCTGAAGCAACTTAATGGGCAAAGCAAAAAGAGGATGGCTGAGTAGAAGCAGATAGATATATCCTGAGTAAAGCAAATTATTCTTCATAGATGCAGAGCAGATAAGTAAAACAGCAAGGTCAGTAGGAGTTCATAGCAGGCGCTGGGGTGGGTCTGTGGTTGATCACTTGTCTTCAGCCTGGTGGTCATAATTACAAAGGCTTCTGTACTTTCTCCCTTCATTCTGGATTGAAAGCTTGACCTAATAGTATTAGGCAAGTCCCATTCACTCAAACAACCAAAGCTTTTGACAAAATGTGTCTCTTGAAGCACTGGACCTACAACCTTCCTTATAAACACACATTCATGAAATTATGCATATTGTTTCCCTCATATTGAAGTCTTCAAAGTATAATGAAAATCTAAAGGCTCTGGAAAGTCCTGCTGCAATCAAACTTGATTATCATGTGTAGCTCAGACTTTCCCCCAAATTGTTTAACCAGGTATTTGTTTATTTATTTTATTTTTTTTTGAGGAAGATTAGCCCTGAGCTGACATCCGTCCCCATCTTCCTCTACTTTATGTGTAGGATGCCTGCCACAGCATGACCTGACAAGTGGTGTGTAGGTCTGTACCAGGGACCCGAACCAGCAAACCCTGGGCTGCCAAAGTGGAAAGTGAGAACTTTAACTGCTGATCCACTGGGCTGGCCCACCATTTGTTTAGTTTTTACTTGTTGTAGGATATAATTTCACATCTTACACAACACACTTTGAGAAGTGCTGCCTTAATTATTCTGTTTTTACTGAGAATAGACCTTCAAATGTTTGGAAAGAGTTTTATTATTCTTATTAGACATTCTACTCTCCAGGCTTCAAGTTCCAATTTCCTTGTATGAAGAGCTTTCTAAATCCTTCATTACTATAGTGAAAAAAGGCATCTTAAAATTACATTTGTAAAATAATATAAAGGAACAAGAAATTGGGGGTCATAGAAATATGACTTTACATTTTTGGTCTATTACTAACTCCTTAAGTCAAAAAGGGTCACATTTCCCCAGAAGAGTGATGGGAAAATCTTAGCAAATGATTTTATTATTAAAAAGATTTCAAAATATCTATAACGAATATTTGAAAATAGAAAACAATCACATTAAATAATTTTTAAAAGTTAGACTAATTTGCATCAAAACTCTTAGAAGATGTTTTCTCTTTGATCCACATTTTCTAATTTTATGAATCTGTCCTAAGGTAATAATCAGATAAGGAGACATAAAATTGTATATAAGAAAGCTTAATGAAAAGCTGTTTATAATGATGAAATGTATAACAGAACAAGACGTTGCCAATGAAACACGGTTTAATATTTTTAAACAATATATTTTTAGAAAATTCTTGCTGGATGTATATCAAATTCTAACACTCCTTATCTCTTAGAAGTGAGAAAATAACTGCGTTTTTCTTCCTTTTCGCTATCTGTATTTGCTAAATTTTTATAAAATGAGCATGGATTAGTTGTGTAAATTTTAGAATAATGCGAATCAGTTGGCACAGAATAAGAATTAAATATTTCTTTGAATTTTTAAGAGCACTTTGAATCTTTGTAAACCATCCTAAAGAAATTCAAACTTGATTTAAATGAAATGCTTCAAACTTGGCTTAGCCATGGAAATTGCGTGCTTCTCTATAGCATCCCCGAAACAGTGTCTATTTCCGTCCTCACTGAGTACAAATGACAAGATGAACTGATAAATTCAGAAAAATGTCCCAGAGCGTTCCCGATAACAGTTATAGTATTTGCTATATCAGTATTTTGTAAATCTACTGGAGACATTTTGCTGATAGCAGTTGGCTCACAATTTTGTTCCACGAAATTAGGTCACTGAAACTTCAAGCAAGACCTGATTATTTGAACCAGTCTAATACTTTTTAGTTGTCTAAACAGACTGTGAATGTACAGGCAGAGCCAGGCTTTGGCACTAATTGGGTTCTGCTTTGTGTGGCATAGCCTTACTTAATATTCTCGGTGCCATAGTAAATCTTACCACAGTTTAGGCTGCCTATTGAGATCTAGCCGGGAAGAACCCAGAATGGGAAAAGCTTCTAACAGCTCAAACATTCTTTGAATGTTACAACATGTTATGGGTCAAATTGCAGAATCAGAAAATAGATACTGAAAACATCAAGGGGCGTGAAACTGGTGCCCATGTCTCTTAACTCTCATGAATCCTAACAGGGCAACTAACTTCCTGTTTTGTGTACCTGCCTTTCTCTGCTTGACTCAAGACATATTAGCATTTTGGAGGGTGAAAATGGAGGTTGCAAACCAAAATCAAATAATTATACATCCTACAAAAATATATACTGTTCCTACAGCTGTTGAAGTGAATAAAAAAATTAAACCTTCTATTTGCTACTATCATTAAAACATAAAATAGTTTATACTGTCAAAAATATTGTCAAAAATAAATATTTATAAATCCAGCTTATATGGATTACTAAATTACAAAACTTCAAATACCTAGCACTAAAGATAATGTTTAAAATCTATTATTTTCTGTTAACAAGAATATTCCCTGATTTTATATTATCACCAAATCATAACTTTTGGGTAGAATTCTGTTATAAATTTGAATAATTTAAAAGCAAAGAGTTTTTATGTATAAAATGTCAGAAAACTGTGCATTCTAAGTTCCGCTTTCTAATGAACAATATGTTTCTTCACATAATTATAGTTACACTTTAAGTGAAAAATCACAATCGCAAATTGTAACCTGGAAGGACATTTAGTAAGTCATTGAGTCCAATCTCTCGCATAATTCAGGAATCCCTGTGTATTTTTGGACATTACACAAAAAAATTCGCAAGGCAGCACGCTGTTGATGAAAGGACTTATTATGAACCTTTTCCTTTAAAAGGAATTTAGAGTTAGTGTAGGTTCCAGAATTTCTGTAAGGACTGAAGCTAGGTATTCCTAGAACATCACATGAGGTTTGTAAAATCGACTGACCGTATCAATAAGAGCGAGAATTTTATTGGAATTGTGGGGTTCAAAACTGTACCAACACTTCCTTGGAGGCATTATTGCGTAAACTAGTTCAAAACGATTATCACTGGTCAGCACTTCAAATATTCAAAGATAATTATAATATGCCTTTTAACCCCTCCTCAGTCTGACCATCATAATTCCTTCTCCCATACAGCATATAACATGTTTTCTCTGCTCTCCTTGTTTCTAGTGAAGATTTCTAATGAGTTCCCCAGTTTATATGAAAGATGAACTATTACCTTAACTTCTGTCCGCAGAGACCAATTAAGCTTTCAATTTATGTTTTTAAAATGTTTCTTCTTTTGAAATAATTTTAGACTTACACCAATGTTTGCAAAAATTATAAAGAGAATTCATGCATACACTTCACCAGCTTCCCCTAATATTAACGTCTTACATAACCATGGTAAATTGATCAAAACCAGAAAAGTAACATTAGCACAATATTACTAATTGAACCATAGACCTCATTCAAATTTCACCAGTTTTTCCACAAATTCCCTTTTAATGTTCCTGGATCCCATCCGGGATCCCGCGTACATTTAGTTGTTCTCTCTCTTTCCTTTCCTCCAATCTGTGGTAATTTCTCAGTCTGTCCTTCCCTTTCTTGATATTAGCACTTTGAAGAGTACTGGTTAGTCATTTGGTAAAATGTCCCTCGTTTTGGATTTGTCTGTTATTTTCTCCTAATTGGAATGAGGACATGCATTTTTACATAAAACTTCCAATTAATATATGTAGAATGAAAGAAGGATAGAAAATTATCTTTAGGAAAATATCACAATAATAATTGCTACAGATAAGGTCTATTGATCAATGCTACAATTAGCAATCTTGATTCTTTTTTAGTGGAGAATGGTGTCTAGAAACCAAGATCTGGTTGCTATGAGTGCTCATTGCTGCTGGAGTAGCATTGTACCTAGGCTCTCTCAGTGGATAGAATTATGAAATATATGTATTTACATTAATCCAGTCATATATACACATCTGTATTTACCTCTGTATCTTTTTATCCATATATTTAAAAATATGAGGTTATATAGACATCTTTGTTTTCAATCTAATAGCACAAACTTTATTTTAGCCTTCTCCCTTTTCTTATTTGTAACTTCTTATTCCAAATGTAAAAAATTAAGTTCATTATATACAATATATATTCTTATATTATCAATTCTAGTATATACATAAAGGCATTTTAGGATTGCTAAACCATACCCATGTGAAAAACCAATTCACTAACTAGATTTCGGTATTTCTGTACAGCTCCTGTTGTCTTCAGCTTTACAGTATGTAGTCAAGATGCTGTTGTCCGAAGTAAAATAATCGTTCTTTTCTTGCTCAGTGTAGTAATGTTATCTATTTGCAATACAGCTCAGTTCATTTGAAATTGTTTTTATCCCACTTTGCCACCTCCATTCTTATTTGTTTTGTTTATTTTTTTGAAGGTTTGTGAAACAATGCTATAATGTTAAGAGTCATGGCTAAACAAAACCTACTAAGAGAAGTGCCACTTCTTCTCCATTCCCATTTCACTCTTCTTTTCATTTCTTTCCCCTCAACCCCTCGAAGTAACCAATCTTTTTATTTTCTGGCTTATTTTTCCTCCATTTCTTTTGCAAAGATGAAAAGATAAATGCGTATTTTCCTGTGTCCTCGTCTTCCTTACATGAAGGATAGCATGCTTTTTTCAGTCAACAGTTGTATTAAATTTGCAGGGCCGCCATAACAAAGCACCACAGAGTGGCTCGCTTAAACAACAGACAGTTATTTTCTCACCGTTCTGGAGTCTAGAAGTCCAAGTCTAGAAGTGTTGACAGGAATGGTTTCTTCTGAAGCCTCCCGCCTTGGCTTGCAGTTAGTAATCTCCCTGTGCCTTCACATGGTGTCTCTGTGTGTATCAGTGTCCTAACCCCGTTTTATAAGGACACTAGTCCTATCGGATCAGGGCCCATCCTAATGGCCTCATTTAACTTAATCACCTCTTTAAAGATCTTATCTCCAAATATAGTCCCATTCCAAAGTACTGGGGGTTAGGACTTCAACATACGAACTTTGGGAGAACACAATTCAGCCCATAACAACAGTATATGCTGGAAAATACTCCATATTTAAGTTGATAAAAACCTCCCTCTTCCATCCTTTTAAACAACCTCCTAGTATTCCATTTTGTAGACGTACCAATATTCATTCAATCACTCTCTTCTGCATAACACAGGACTTTTCAGATATAATGCAGTCACAAAGCATGCTGCAATTCATAACTTTGTGCATATCTATTTTCATATAGATAGAGATGTGTCTTCAGGATAGGTTCCTAGAAAGGAGAGTGCTTGGTGAAACAGTAAGGGCATACGTCATTTTATTAGGTCTTGAAATATTCCTGTCTGACAGAGTTTTACTGGTTTATATTTCAAACATCAGTGTATTGGCGTGCCTGTTTCACCAGCACCACACAGAGTTTTTTTACTCTCTGGCAATTTGAGACATGAGAAATGTTACCTCAGTGTTATTTTAATTTTCACTTCTCTAATTCTGAGTGAGTTTATTTACTTTCTTTTTGTCTGAGGGCCATTTTTATTTCTTTTTGAATTGTCTGTTCATGTTTCCCCAAATTTAAATGCAGTTTTTGGTCTTTTGTCACCCAATTTTTGAGTACTCTTTGCATATAAGGATATTATCCTTTGTCTGTTATCTATATACTGCAAATATTTCTCCCAAATTGTCAGCTGTCTTTTTAACTTATTTTAAAACCTTGCACAATACATACACCCACACACATCAAATTTGTTAATTTATATTTGTTACAAGTGTAAAATCTTTCCCTACCCCAAGATTAAAGAGAAATACACTCATTTTTTCTTAGTACTTGTGTTTTTAATTTTCAAATCTCCAATCCATTCTGAGGTTATTATTGTGAATAGTGTGATATCTGGATCTAATTTTGTTTCCGAATAACTACCCAGTTGTCCCAGACCAGTCAGTAAAACTTTTAGCTTTGGCCCAGTCATTTGATATACCACCTTTATCATATACTGAATTTCCACATGGATTTTGGTCTATTTCTGGGCTTTCTACTCAATGTTTCTGACCTTTTTGTGTATTTGAGTACCAATACCACATTGTCTTTATTACAGTGACTTTATAATACATTTTCATATCTGGAAGAACTAATTCCCTACATAGTTTGTTTTCTTCAGTGTTTTCCTGGCTACAAATCCACACTTAGTTTCCCATGCAGACTTTATTATCAGCATATGTAATTCCATGAGACAGTTTATCAATGTTTTTATGAGGATTCCAATTAGGGAGAACTGAAATTTTATAATGCTGAGTCATTCTATGCAAGAGCAAGGGAATGCCTTTTCATTTGTTTGAGTCTACTTTTATGCTTTTCAGGAGTGTTTTAAAATTTTCTTCATCTTGGTTTGCACATTTTTGTTAGTTTATTCCTAAGTATTTAGTCTTCTTTTTTTGCATTGTGAATAGGGCTTTCTCTACCATTATGTCTTTTAACTGCTTACTCTCTGTATATATGAAGGCTATTAATCTTCGTTTGAATGCTGGTTTACACCTTGCTATGTTACTGGATTGTCACACACTTTAAGTTATTTTATCATTGATTCTCTAGGGTTTTTAAGGTAATTTATGAAATCTGAAAATATAAATAATTTTAATTCTTCTTTACACATTTTTACGTATCTAATAGATGAATTTTTTCTAATCGTAATGGTAAATACCCTAGTGCAATGTTGTATAGTAGCTGAGACTGTGGCCATCTTTTTCTTATTCCTGACCTCAGTGGTAATGCATGGAGTATATCCCAATGAAATAAGATAGTAACTTCAAATGTATAGAAAAACTATGAAGAGGTACAGAGAGTTCTCATGTTTTCCATACACAATTTCTGCTGTTAATATCTAACATTAGTATGGTTGAAATTAGTGAAATTAATTGATATGTTATTATTAACTAAAGTCCATACATTATTCAACTCTTTAGTTATCTAATATCCTTTTACTGTTCCAGGATGCCATCTAAGATACCACATTGTATTTAGTAGTCATGTCCCTTAGGCTTTGCCTGGCTGTGACAGTTTCTCATACTTTTCTTGTTATTTATGAATGAATAGCTCTTAATTTGGACTTTCATGATGTTTTCCCCATGCTTAGGTTGGGGGTAAGTGCTTTTGGGAGGAGGACCACAGAGGTAACATATTAATTTCATCATATCATATCAAGGTTATTTACTATCAACATGACAGTATCCCTTTTGATGTAAAACTTAAATCTCTGTCTGAGGTAGTGTTTGTCAGGTTTCTCCACCATAAAGTTACTGTCATTTTTTTACCCTTCCATACTGTGCTCTTTGAAAGAATTCACTATACGCAGTCCACACTTATGGAGCGAGGAGTTATGCTCCACCTCGTGAGGGGGACACGTACAGAAATCATATGGAATTCTTCTGAGAGGAGTTTCATCTATTTTTCTCTATTTATTTGATCATTTATGTATATTGGTATAGACTCATGGAAGTGGATTATATACTTTGGAATATGTTACTATACTATTTTATTTATTTTCTTGTTCAAATTGTTTTAGCTTTGGTAGCTTTTTCAGTTGGTTCCTGTGTTTTTTGACATTCCATCGTAAGACTTTTTGTTGGTTTATCTGCTTTGAGCAAAAGATTCTCCAGGTTTATCTCGTATAATTCCTCTTCCAGCCTCAGAATCAGTCATTTTTCCAGGAGTCTTGTATCCTTTTATTGGAGAATGGTAACAGAAACCAAGATCTGAGTGTTAGGTTTACTTGTAGATACCCCTGTGTCATTGCTTCTAAGCCGTCTCAATTGATAGAGAAAGGAAATACGTGTGTGTATATTAACCCATATATACATACACATATCTATAAATATTCCTATATGTAACCATCTGTATCTATATTAA